AGGTGACATCTTCGGTTTTTGGCACTTTCAAGAGGCGTTTTGCAGTAAATTTATCCAATGCAACAAGATGTTTGATTTCTTTACTGCTGCTTCCATGCATGTTGATGGTGGATCCAAGTAAAATAGAATCTTTGATAGCTTCAATACTTTCCTTATAAATCATAATGTTGCTTAATGGTTCAGTTGTGAGGATTTTTATTTTATTTATGTTGAAGTGTAATCCACATTGAAAGCTTTGATCTTTATCTTCAAGTCCTCTTCACTTTCAGTAAGCAAGATCATGTCATTGACATATCACAGGTTGTTAGTCTTTCTGCAACCCTGAATCACATTCTTTTTCATATAGTCCAGTTTCTTGGATTAAACAAGTATGTAGATGGGGTGCTCTGAAGGTGAAGCAGGAGAAGAGAAGGACACATAGACTTCTGCAGGAAGAAAGAGGGATTCTCTGTGCTCTGGCATTGAAATCTGAGACCCAAGAATGACTAGAAGTTAGCCAACAAGTTCAAAACAAGATAGAGGCAGCTGAGACTAGATCATTCAGGGCCTTGGAGACAGACAAGATTTTAAACTTTATTCTAAGGACTTCTGGTGTGGCGCTGTAGGATCACTACTGGACTTTGAACCACAAGATTGGCAGTTCAAACCCTATACAGGGTTGCTCTGAGTAGGAACCAACATGACAGCACTTAACAACAACAACAACATTCTAAGGGCATTAAAATTTAACATGTTCAAGTAGGGAAGTCACAAAATCCAACTTGCCTTTTGAAATGATTACTTTGACTTCAATGGAGAGAACAGGTTGGAGGAGATTGTAAGGAGACCATGTGGAGCTTGTTGGCAAGTTTACAGAAAAATTTTGGCTGAGACTAAGGCAGGAGCAGTGGAAACGGAAAGAAGTTGAGGAATCAGAGTGGTAATGTGCAAGCAGAATCAATAGGAGACGTTCAAGGATCAGAGAACCCAAGCATCTTCCTTTATCATCCATTTGTTATTTGTTTACAATATAGAAACTGTCATGAAAATTAAACAAACAAACAACAACATAATAGAGCAAGAGTCATTTAAGCGCCCCTGAACAGTGAATAAGGAAGACCGTAGAAGAATTGATGCTTTTGAGTTATGGTGTTGGAGGAGAATATTGAAAGTGCCATGGGCTGCCAAAAGAACCAATAGATCCGTTTTGGAAGAAGTGCAACCAGAGTGCTCCTTGGAGGCCAAGATGGCCACACATCGTTTCTCATACTTCGGACATATTGTCAGGAGGGACCAGTCGCTGGAGACGGATATCATGTTTGGTAAGGTGGAGGAAAGAGAAAGAGAGGAAGACCACCAAGGAGATGGATTGGCCAACTGGCAGCATCGTTGGACTCAAGCGTGGCAACAGTAGTGAGGTTGGCTCAGGATCGGGCAGTGTTTCGTTCTGCTGTGCATAAGGTTGCTATGAGTTGATACTGACTCTATGGCACGTAACAACAACAACTAAAGGTATTTTTTACTCGGCTCAACCATCAACACTCAAGGAAGCCGCAGTCAAGAAATCAAATGACGTATTATTGCACTAGGCAAATCTGTTGCACAAGACCTACTTAAAGTGTTGAAGAGCAAATATGTCAGCTTGAGGTCTGAAGTGCTCAGGATCCAAGCCATGGTATTTTCAGCAACCTCATATGCATGTGAAAGTTGAACAGTGAATAAGGAATACCATAGAAGAATTGACGCATTTGAGTTATGGTGTTGGAGAATATTAAAAGTACCATGGACTGCCAAAAGAACAAACAGCTCTGTGTTGGAAGAAGTACAGCTCCCTGGAAGCCAGATGGCCAAACTTCGTCGCTCATACTTCAGACATATTATCATGAGACCAGTCCCTGGAGAAGGAGGTCATGTTTGGTAAAGTGGAGGGTCAGAGAAAAAGAGGAAGGCCCCAATGAGATGATTGACACAGTGCCATAGGGATGGGCTCAGGCATAGCAATGATTGTGAGTTTGGCTCGGGACTGGGCAGTGTTTTGTTCTGTTGTGCATAGGGTCGCTATGAGTCAGTATCAACTCTATGGCACCTAACAACAACAACATCAAGATGTTTCAGGAGCACTGGTAGCATAGTGGTTACAAGTTGGACTGCTAACCTCTAAGTCAGAAGTTTGAAACTACCAGTTCTGTAGGAGAAAGATGAGCCCTTCTGCTCCTGCAAAGATTTACAGCCTCAGAAACACTATGCAGGGTCACTATAAATCAAAACTAACTCCACAGCACACCTCCACCACCGTGGCTTCTTGACCAAGAGGCAGTTGTCAGATGAACAAGGGGATACTGAATGATTTAAAATCAGGAAAGGTGTGTGCCAGGTTGTATCCTTACACCATATTTATTCAATCTGTATGCTGAGCAAATAATCTGAGACAATGGATTACATGAAGAAGACCATGGCATCAAGATTGGAGGAAAACTCATTAACAACCTATGATACGCAGTTGACACAATCTTGCTTACCAGAAGCAAAGAGGACTTGAAGTACTTACTGATGAAGATTAAAGACTATAGTCTTCAATATGAATTTCACCTCAATATAAAAAAAAACAAAACTCCTCACAAATAGACCAACAAATAACATCATGATGAGTGGAAAAAAGATTGAAGTTGTCAAAGACATTTAGTTTGGATCCACAATCCCATGGAAGTAGCAGTCAAGAAATCAAACGATGTGGAGAAGGACATCATGCTTGGAAAAGTATAGTGACAGTGTAAAAGAGGAAGACCTCCAACAAGATGGATTGACATGGTGGCAGCAACAACGGGCTCAAACATATTAACAATGGTGGGGCTGGTACAAGACCAGGTAGTGTTTCATTCTGCAGTGCACAGGATTGCTATGAATCGAAACCCACTTGAGTATATCTACTAACGACAACAACATGGCTTCTTGAGTAAGAGCCCTGGTGGCATAGTGGGTAAGAGCTCTGATGCTAAACAAAAGGTTGGCAGTTGAAACCCACCAGCCACTCCATGGAAGAAAAACTAGACAATCTGCTTCCGTAAAGATTTACAGCATTGGAAATTCTGGGGTGTAGGTCTCCTCTGCTTTGTAGGGTCACAGTGAGTCAGAGTCAACCTGAGAGCCTTGGAGTAGTGGATTTATGGCTTCTTCATCAATTTTTATGAGATTTCCTGCTTCTTCCTCTAAAAATTGGGATGATTTTAAAGTTTAGGGAGCTACCTGTGACAGAATGGAAAGTAGTTTTCTGCATTTAAGTCCCAATCACAGCTGTATCACTTACTACCATATCCGTGTACCTTAGTTTCCTCATATGCATAATGGGCCTAATAATGCCAACCACACAGGCTTTTATGAGAAGGAAATGAAATGTGATTTGTATAGGTTCTGGAACTGGTACGAGCAAAGTAATAAAAGTATTGGTACTAGGGCTCCAGTCCAGATATGCAAGGGTTTATTCCAACTAAAACACGTTTGAACGTATCTTTACAATAGCTGTAGACAAATTCTTTTTGTAATGTGCTTGTCTAAGTCTTGTTAGGGTGCCTTCAGAAAACAAAAGCGAGGTCCAATCAAAATAGTGACTTCTGAGGGGATTTGCTGGGTCAGTTAAATTCAAGGTAGTAAGGTCAGCTCAGAAGTTTGCAGTGACTTTTTTTTGGATTACAAAGCGTAATCTTGATAGATTTCCTTGAAGGACATAGGACGATTTAGAAAACAGGTTTCAGAATACTGAGAACTGCATTGGTGAAAAAAGGCCAGGAAGGTTGTGCCTAAGGAATTTTTTTTTTCTTCTTCCCATCAATGACAAAGCACCTGCTCATTCTTTAAGGGTAGCAGTCTTATGAGAATGGGGAAACTTTACCCCATCCACCCTACAACCCTGATCTTGTCTCTTCAGACTTCTTTTTGTTCCCCCAACTCAAAGAACATTTCAAAGTAATGCAGTTTAAGTCCCTTAAGGATGCCCAAACTGCTGTTTTGATGTGCTGTAAATTGAAAAGCATAGAATTTTGTGGGGAAAAGGGTTAGAAAGCTGTACAGACCTAGATGGAAGATATGTTGAGAAAAAATTGCTTCACACTTTGATATATTTGTTCAAGGAAGCACTCTCTGACCTTGTAGTAATATTTTTTTATTTACCCTTATACATATCTAATAAATCATAACTTGTATTAACATTAACAATATAGAGTATATTCACTATGATAGTACTGATGTGATAAAACAGACTGAAACCATTGAATGAGAAGATTGGGCTTGTCAGACTCATCAATTCTGTCCCCCTAACCTTTCTGATTTTGTCCTCTTTTGGGCACAGTGTTTGAAATGATGTTTGAAAGAACACAGATTTTCTACAGTTCTGGGGCAAATTCTTTTCTTTCATGGAGTATGCAACTGGTTAACCACTCACTTCCTTTCTGTGGCACCAGGGAAGTAGGGGGCTTGGGCAATCTCTCTAAGTCAGACACTACTGTTTTTGAAATTCCACTGGCTACAGATAGAAGTCCTAGTGTGGTGCTGTGGGATAAAGTGCTGGACTACCAGGTTGGTTTGAACCACAAGGTCAGCAGTTCAAACTCACCAGCCACTTCTTGGAAACAATATACAGGGTTGCTATGAGTTGGAACCAACTCAACGGCCCTTAACAACAACAACAGATAGGCGCCAGGTGACACAGATACATAGGTTCTTGGTCTGGGATAGAAAGATCTATAAGCCTGTGTAACCTGAGTTGTTACCTGTAAATCATCCATTTTCCAAACCTCCTTTTGCTTAAAATGAGTGTGTTCAGTAATTAACATTATGACGACAACTCTACAGCTCATATCACTATTCTTATTTTATAATTGGGGCATAGCACATTTAATTGCCTGAAAATGCAAATTTGCTACAGAATAATATTACACACAGAAAGGAAATGGTGTCAATTGCTTGAGATGGAAAATCCCAGAATATGTTATTCATCATGTCTTTTCCTTGCTTTTTTTTTTTTTCAGGGGAGAGAAAAATTTTCACATATTTTATTATATTTATGCTGGTCTTTATCATCAGCAGAAACTTTCTGATTTTAGGCTTCCTGAGGAAAAACTTTCTAGGTAAGCATCAGAGTTCTAATTGTTAATTTATAATGAATGTATAATCTGTGTTGATAAACTCGGAAATAAATGGAGCTGCTTTCTTAAGTGGAAGCCCATAGTCCGAATGAAATGCCCAGAAACAAGTAGTAAGGAAAAGAAAAAGGGGGTGGTGGTGGTGGTAAGTAGGAACTATATAGCACCATTTACATTTTTGATGGAAAGTCCAAAACCCAGCTGCAGTCATTTTCCTCAGTTAGATGTTTGGCAGTTAACCAAACAGTCAGCAGTTTGAGTCCACCCAGCGGTTCCTTGGATGTAAGGCTTTGTGATCTACTTCAAAAGATCAGCCATTGAAAACTTGGTGCAGCACGGTTGGACTCGGATACACCTGGGCTTGCCATGACTTAGAACTGACTTGATGATAGCTGATTTGATTTTTTGTTTATTAGACTATGAGGGAAATTGACCTGGAGAGGTGCCATTTTCCAAGTGAGTGTTTATTGTGTGGTTATTTTCCATTTCGTTTAGGTATATAGCTGATGAAACAGGAAGAGTGATGCATGACATAACTTCTAAGGAATCTTACCGAAGACAATTTGAAGCAATTCAGCATTGCTTCAGGATTATAGGGTTCACTGAAAAGGTAAGTGATTGTTGAGAGAGAAACTCAAGTGTTGATAGTCTTGAATGAATATGAGTGAAGACAGGGAGGTTCTAATTTGGGGCAGAACATCTGCTTATCAAATGCATTGCTGGTCATACTGTAAGTTCTTGCTGCTATAGTGTGGTCACAGGACCAGGAACAATTCTGTTACCTCACAGTGTGTTACAAATGCAGACTCTCAGGACCATCCAAAATTACTAAATCAGTATCTGCATTTTCACAAGATCCCCAAGTGGTCATTAAGCAAGAAAAGAACTGGTGTAAGAGCCACAACCCTACGGATTATTATCATCACCAATTCCCTATAGGGGTAATAACAAACAGTAAAATAATATTGCCCTTTTCTGAGTTGGGGTCGTTCCAGCCATTAAGGTGAGCTGTGTAATAGAAGGACAGGGATGTGTACATTATACCCAAGCAAGTAGTTCATTGTGTACCAAGATAAATTAATTAAAACCCTTCCAACTTTCTTGCAGTCACTTCCTTTTCTGTGATACACACTTGTACATTGTTAACTGTAGCTCTAAGTACTGTACTACTCTTTTCACACTAGATACAGGCTGTCTCTATTAAATATATGCTAGGGGTGACAGAAAATATTTATAACCCTAGGTTCAAATATTATTCTGTGATACATTTATGTCATAGGCTCTGGGCTTCATGCCATCAATTTTGCAAAATATATAGATTCTTTTTCTTTTCAACAAAGGAGGTGAATGATTATGAGGTAAGGGAGAGTGTTAAATCTTAAGGGATTAGATTACAAGACACTCCAGTTAGCTTGGGCCAGCCACTTGGGATAAAAGATTGCTTCTATAATCCAATGAGTTTGGCTAGCCCTTACCTCCCAAGCATGGTTGAGTTTAGTCATAATAATACCTTTCTTTTTTCTAACCAGCTGTTAATTTTTTCTATCAGCCTCCCACAGACTTTAAACTGACACATAGTGGAAAATCCCAAAGGTCAGATAAAAATAGAAGTATATTTCCTTTGCCTCTTACAAGAGTAATTAAACAGGCTCTGGCATTGTTACAGGACCTTTATAGTTATTACTTTATAGAGCTGGTTTTTATCAAAGACACATCACCAGAAGAGTCAAAGCATGGTGGAGATGGCAGGACAGCCATTTTGGATCATGCCAAATTATTTGGAAGCATATTTATTTAAAAGGGTACAGAAACAATGGAGAAGTCAGTCATAGGGTTAATAATACGTTGCTTTCAATGAGTACAAAAAGGTGCTGTTGAATATTGAGAAGAGATTGATCCTGTTCAAAAGAAGGCAAATCCAGTTTCTTATGCAAGTAACACATGCCTTCTACATTTGTCTGTCAATCACTCCTTTTCCTTAAGTCCCTTACCCCAAGTATTTTTGTAGACACACTGCTATTTTTTAAAACAGAAACATGCAAAAAGAAAAAAAAAAAAAAAAAGTATAGGGGTACTTTCCCAAAATACCTCCTGTGGGAATAGAGCCGCTAGTCAACAAAGGTAAAATGTCACTTGTGATTTGTATAAAAACATGGTAATAGCTCTTGTCTATAGAAATGTACTACAAATAATGAAGTGAATGGTGTGTGTTTTAAAATAACAAAACTAAAAACAGAAGAAATGAAGCTACAAGGGAGCTTCACAAAGTTTGCAAAAAGCTTTCATTTTTCCATGAACTCTTTGAAGTCCCCTTGTATGTCCTCAAAGTAAACAATTGTATATCCTTAAAGTATGTCTAATCTCTGTGGGAAAATGTGCAGTCAAAATGAATGACTGGCCACATGAATGAATATGGAAAAAAAAGAAATGTAAACACTGATAAACATTCTTCATTTGTGCCTAGTGTGGCCAAGAGCTTCCCCGCGGAGTGAGAACAGCGAGTCCCTTTGGACAGGAGGCTCATTTGTGGAGTGGGGGCTTCCAGCCATTTAATCTGATGACTTACATTTTCTGACTCACAGAGCTAGAGCTGAGCACCTTTGGGCTGAGGCTTGTAACATAATGGAGTGCCCTTTGGTCGTGTATGTGCAGTTCTGAAAGAGCTTTGTAATATTGCCCAAGTAGGGGAGAGGCCAAGTCAAAGGACTGAAGGTCAAAGGTTGGCCTGCCTGTGGTCACAGCAGAGAAGAAGCTGTCCTGACTAAAGAACTGTCTCCTGAACATTCCTAATACTGAATTGTGGCTTATTAATTTCCCTAATAAACCCCAAGATCATGACTATTGTTTGTGAGTTGTGTGTGGCCACTGCAAAAATCCCTTCTCCCCAGCTGAGATGCTGCGGAGCAGGGATTGTTGGTGTGAGAATTGGTGAAGAAGGGTGGAGAGTGGAGACATGTCTGACCTCTGACTCATAGGAATCGGCCTTGGGCTGATGGACTTGATTCTCTGTCTCCCTTGTGGAGGCCAAAGGCGGTCAGATGCTACAACCATGCACTTTATACAGTTGGTGTGTGAATAGCCAGAATGTAATTGAACAGATGTCTACATGTCTTCACCATGTCCCATAATCATTCGTACTGTATACAAACCAATTGATGTCAGTTAGCGACCTTGGAAATGGAAGGAAGACACTGGATCTTAGCTCTCTGATCTTAAATTCTATAGCAATGTCTCTATAGATCACCTGTTTTACTGAATTGGCACGGCAGTTCACTTTATGTTTAGAGCCTCAAAGTTGCTGTTGTTGTTAAGTGCCATGGAGTCATTTCCAACTCATGGTGACCCTATGTCTGAGGCTGTAAATTTTTGCAGGAGCAAAAAGTCTTCTTTCTCCTGCAGAACAACTGGTAGACTTGAACAACTGACCTTGTGGATCACAGCCTGGTGTTGATCCTACAGCTACAGAGCTACTGCTTTTCCTAAATTCAGAAACATTCCATTGACTTGGGTCAGGCCAAATGAGTGATGTCTCAGAACTTTTTCTGTCAAACATTTCCAGACAGAACTTGAATACATTAGTCAATTTCATCAACATTTTGATCCTGGTCTTTTCTGTAATGTGACTAGTTCCCTGCAAGGATCTCTTCAGTTTCTTCCTAAGCCTTACAGCAAAATTATGAGGAGTAAGTTTGTACTCATGAGCATGAATTTTAATTCTGGGACACCAGCCAAAAGTTTCTGAAAGAACTTCTAACCCTGGCTTTATTGTAAAGAAACCTCCCTTGTGGAAGGAGCCTCTCAAGAATAATGATGACTGCTTGTAAGGGACTGGGGGATTTATACCCAAAACCCAATTAGGAAGCTGAAGATTAGTGCTTGTTCATACCTGGTTTGGAACCAAACCATATCTTAGCATTTAGTATTGTGCCTGTCTTGCTGGATAGATATTATGACACATTAAATGAATCTAGTTTTAGACGAACTTTTATTTAATTTTGTTGTTGTTGTTGTTAAGTGCTTTTGCGTCGATTCCAACTCATAGCAACTCTGTACAGAGTTTCAGAGAAGCAGCTGGTGGTTTTGAACCACCGACCTTGTGGTTAAATTAGAGAAGTAACTTCCTCAGGAAATGCAAGAGAATCCACTACCTGACATGCCTGTGAACAAAGCCAGGGATGATTTTCTTCAACTGGACCAACCTAACAGAAAATGGAGTCCTGGTGTGGCACTGTGGGACAGCATAGTAACTGGACCACGAGGTCAGTTTGAACCCAAGGCCGGTGGTTCAAACTCACCAGCCACTCCTTGGAAACCTTATACAGGTTTGCTATGAGTCGGAATTAACTTGACAGCACTTAACAATAATAACAGAGAAAACAAGGCTCTTTCCATGATTAGTCTCACTTTTACCTAGGGCATACCCACATCCGTGAAAGAAGCATCTCCTGACAAAAAAAAAAAGAGAGAGAGAAACAAAACACAGCATTTTACTGTGGCACTTTGACAGAGAAATGTTCCTGCCCTGCTTTTGCCAATTTGTGGCAAAGATGGCCTTATACCCATCAATACCCAAATGACAAACCCATCTGGAGGAGTTGTTAGTCTTCTTAAAAAAACGTCTTGCCCAAAGTGGAGTTATTCTTTTTAAATCATATAGTTAGTTGGAAACTGGTAGCAAATAAAAAAGATCATAGAGCAAATTTCTGTAGGAAAGGCAAGGGTGTCAAAGGCTCCACAGCTGGAGATGAGGCAAGAGAAAATGAGCCAATTAAGAAAGGTGGAGTGAGCCTTTCCAGGAAATCTGTGGCGGGAAAAGAAGAAAAATTTGCACAAGAAATATTGAGGGTAGAGAGCGCGGAATCCCGCAGATGAACTGTTAAATTTTACCAAAACTATGTACATGGTGGAGCTTGGGCCTTAACACAGGGGAGGACGTGGAATCCTGGGTCAGTTGGAAGAACTAATTAACCCAAGGATGAGGCTAAAGGAATAGAGTGGATGGAAGAGCACAGGAACTCCCTAAGGCTAATACTTCCTTAACGAGATGAGCATTCAGATACTTCCTTGCTACTTTTCACTAAACCCAAGAAGGAGGACCAACCTGTTATTCAGATCAGTGATTCATGCAACGTTTGAACCTCAAAGGTTTCACTCAAAGTCATAAGGTGGTTTTCTACTTTTAACGGTTGCAGAGCACAGTATGAATAAGGTATATTGCCAGAGAAGTAAGAGAGGCAGATGCTGGCCTCAAGGGTATGGTATTTGACACACATATTCCTTTGGGAGTTGAAGCCTTATTTTGGGAAGCTGCATGCTTGAACTGTCATACATGAAGTATGTGTGCATTTTAGAGGAATTTTTTTCCCTGAGAGTATTGAGAGTGTTAGATAATCTCTTGAGATCACTGGATATAGAAATGACAGATATAGAGAAATACAGCCTAAAATGACAGCTTGTCACACACACCACACCATCATCCTGTAGCAAAAATGAAATCAAGTGAAACAAACACAGATGATAATCTGGTAACCCAGAAGAGCACATGGAAAGAGGAAGACTCAGATGGAACACCAAAGGGAAGGAGAAACTGAATGAAAAGAGCAAACAAGG